CTAGTCAGCGACGCTTTTCAATAAGGGGAATTTCTCTGAATTTCTCGAGTTACACGAGGCTATTTTCTAACTTTATTTGCATTTTACTCATTAGTTTTATCGGTGACCTATCTTCAAATTTTGACCACGAATTTATTTTGCGGTAAATTTTATATATTTCAATTTTTAAAAAAATCTTTAGTGTGGAAATTTCGCAATAACATTTTCGCTTTTAAAAAAATCACACACTACAGAATTTTTTTAAACTTTCACCACAGTTGCAGAGCATCATTCCCTATTGATATACTGTATGACATAAAAAAGATAGGTCACCGGCATCGTTTTTGAGACAGCGGTACATTTATTTATGGCGGGTTAAATTGGAAGGCTTTATGCTGTCGTCATGTTGCCATGGGAACACCAACGTTGTCGAAATCTAGTTCGAAATATTCCTTAGGTGAGCAATATTGCCACCAAGTCGAAAAGAATTCGCGTTCTGCACGAATATGCCTGTTTTACGGAATTATTGCGTAAATAAGAATAACTGTAGGGAGCCACCTTAACTGTTTTTAATTTGCTACCCAAAATGGCGGAAGTCAACAAATACGTGTTGTGACTTCACTTGCAAGAGCCCAATACCTTTGCTCTCGGTTGTTTTTATTAACGATATAAAACTAGTACCCTATTCCTATCATAAATATCGTGAACAGTTTCAACATAAAATTGGATAACATTTAGGATCTATAAGGCCGTTTTCACTTCAAGCGTAACGTACAGACACATATCAAAACAAATTTTAAATTTCAAAATTTGGTGAATGTTGATTGGTTAATACTTCCGTAGTACGCTTAAAAGTGGACTTGCGACGAACTTTTTATTTTGATACGCGAATCGACCGGAAGTACGTAATTTTGAAAACCCATCTTCAAGCTGCGCATGCTCACCGTTACGGTATACGATACGGGCAAAGTGGAAAACGGGCTATTGAGTACACGTGTATGCAAGTACCGATTCCTTATGTGATTATTTATTTAGGTATAAAATGATCTGCTCGAGTACATGGCCAAACTACAACGGCAACGACAAGAGTGGTGTACAGGCATTGCTCACAGCCGTCAACTTGGAGAAGGATGCCGAATATGGAAAAACTAAGATTTTCATCCGCACTCCACAGAGCATAACTACTTTAGAGGAAATGAGAAGTGCAAAAATCCCCGAACTTGTTGAACTTTTGCAAAGGGTGAGAAAATGAACACTTACCTCCCAAATTTCTTGGAAATATAAATCAATATTAACAGTTATACTGCAAGTTCCTGACGGTATAGTCAATGACATATTGGTTGGAAGTGCGGCAGATATTTTCGAACTGACTTCTATACGATTTTATGTTGTGGCGACTTCACCATGCACAAAAATGTTGAATTTAGCTTATGATATTTCAATAACACTCTGGTTAAAATTTCCTGGTTAACCTAGAAATAGTTAACACTTACTGACTGGCATCGAGGGATACAGTATGTTTTGTGGATCCGAGTATGCCAATACTTATATCTTAATTGAACTAGTTATTTTGGCAATTATTCAATGTAGTATACTTCATTTTATCCGATGTAGAGTTGGGTTTTTCGCCATTTTCGTTTTATTTTATCGACGGATACAGAACCTATATATATTCTCGCATTTATTCTGTTTGACAATTTTGTCATTTTGTTTTCCCAAATTTCGAAATTTTTACGCTCTCTCTCTACTTCGGATGAAAAGGATTATACTATATTCTTGTTTGATATTTAAATTATAAGTTGTGAGTTTTTGTATAATGATGTTTTGTAACAGGTCACTAACGTAATTGGCTCACGCTGTGTTAGTGTTCCTGAACCGTCTTCCTGTTTGTACATGTATATTTCTGTTGACGGCTGAAGTTAATAAATAAATAAATACTCAGTCGAGGTCGACAAACATACTGTTTTCCGAAAGTCTCGGTTAATAAGTATTTTATTAGATCCCAAATGTCAAAGAAAATTTAAAAAAGAAACGGGAAATTTTATAACAAGAAGTCCTGGTCAAATTAACTAGACTATATTAAAAAAAGGTTAAAATAAGCAGGAAATTTAACTAGGAATTAACCCAAATTATTTAGTATATCTCAAATCTGGTTTAATCAGGAGTGTTTTTGGAGTGTTCATTATGCCAAGAATGCATTGTCTTCACTGATCACAAATTTACAAAAAGATAGAACAAAGATTTGGCCGAGTTTGCAGACCATAGGTCGGTTCTACGAAAGCTGGATAGCGCCATCTATTGGGTAGTGATTTTTTCAACCTTTGTCGAAATGCTTGAAAAGATTTAAAACTACCAAATTATAGACCTCACAACTTATTAAAAGAAACTTTAACTTGTAGATACTAAAGTTTAATCTGGGTTTTGCCAATCGACGGCCGTGCACTATTGCGTTATCCGGCCTTCGTACAACCGTTGATTGAAGATATCACTTTTAAACTTTCATCTCTCGTATTTCTCAAATGTTGAGTTTCAAGATGTAACTTTAAACGGAATATTTACTTTGGGACACGTTACACAACTTAAAAAAAACAAACAAGCAAAATAAAAAAAAAAAACAAAAAAAAAACGCAAACAAGCCCTACATCTTTATGTCGTCTGACATTTTTAATCTTCTTTATGTTTTATCTAGAATATCCGTGGTGGACTCGCAAGGCAATTCGTTCGAAAGTTACGTGCTAAGAAGAAGATTATAACTTGCTATCGTCATTGGAAGATGAAAGTGTATTTGAATAAAATTGTTGAAGCATTCAGGTACGGAATGAGCGTGTTTCAGTTTGAAGGAATTATTGTTAATTATATTTTGGTTTCGTACATGATGTTTAGAAGAACAACTCCCCCACCCCCCCACCCCCCTCCCATCTTTGACCTATGAGATTAAACCTAATAAATGTTCTGTTTTATCATATTATGCAGCCTTTGCTATTACGTGCAGTGTATATAGACATCAAATTAATTTTTATTCTTTCCAGAAATGTTCGATCGATGCGTGATTTAGGGAAGAGTGTTTCATGGCCAGTTCCACCCAAGGCGATTGAAACGTTCATTAATCAACTCAAGATTGTTCATGGAAGGTAATATATTTAAATTATAGTAAACACATGGAGTGGGCATGTGATTTCCGAAGCCGATTACTCACTCGCTGACAAAGCCAGGCTCTCTATCTAATCAGCTAAACGACAACCATCCAACATGACCTCTGTTATAACTCAGTAGGTAGAGGGTTGGAGTAGGAAACCAACGTTTCACGCGGATTCTATTTCCACCACGGCATAGCCGGAAATCACGGCTGACCTCCTCACTAATTTACATATCACGTTGACATATGGTTGCAACAGCAACAGTTAAGGTGGTTTGCAGTTTGCCGAAATCGTTGATTGCGAAACAAAGTCTTAGTGTAATGTTAGCCTGTTTTAAACTACGGCTCTTAAACGAGTTATAATCCCGCACTCATTAGACATAAAATGGTTGAATTATTTTAGATGGCGTGCTTGGATGATCATATCTAAGATACCTGAAGCAGAAAGAGAAGAAGTTCATTTGAAAGCATCAGCCGCAGAAGCACTTGATGGACGACGCAAGGAATGGGGATGTAAAAGACGTTGGAAGGGTGACTACATGTCTCTTGTACGTTTATTTTATATTGGTTTGACTTGAGCTCATACAAGGAATACATACCAACGGGTTATTCTACCAGAATTTAAAATATATTGTTATGTAACTAGCTAGTGCTTAAACTAAACGTGATTGGCTGATTTGTGGTCACGCGGATTTTGATAGATAAATAAAATGTATCTCGCCGGGCAACAAGTGAAAAATTGCTGCTCGCTCCGACTGTATACTTTCTGTAGGCCTACATAATACACCGAAAATGGAGCGAAAAGTTTACTAGGAAGAACTTTTTTGCAGTTTACGAAAAGAATATATACAGCATCATACGACATACATGCAGAGAAGAAAAATACTCAACAGCCAACATACCCAAATTAAATAATTTTGCTGTCAAAATAATCTGCATTAAAGAATTTTATTCATTGCCTATTTTTCTTCGTCACTAAATAACAAAACTGTCTGTTCCCTTGGGAAATAGTTTGTTTTGTTTTCCCTCGAAACTCAATGTTTCCCTCGAGTTCTTCTTGGGAAACATTGAAACAAAACTATTTCCCTCGTGAGCAGACATTAAGTGTATATTGTACACAGCCTGACAGAGCTGTAAAATTAATAAATTGTTTAATTCTTTTGTATTATCATTTATCTAAAGACAAGCAAACAAACGGAGTCTTGCCGAGGTGTCAACATGAATGCGCCTCCTGGCAGAAGTAACGATTAGTGTCAGTTTTCAGGGGCATGTCTACTAGATCGTAGAACCAAATTTATTTTCAATTTAAAAAAAGATAATAAAATTATTAAAGTCCCCTAAAGTTCTTGTCAGGCGAACTTGTCTATATACAATATATTCTACCAACATTTGTTATCCTATTTGAGCACAATTCTAACTTTTGATACCATAGCTGTGATATAAACTGGTGTGTGCTTTATATCTTTAGGATAGTGAAAACAGAAATGCAAACAGATTCCGATTTTTGATCGAAACCTACAAAGTGAAATATCAGTTCCGCCAAGTCTTGTTTTCTTCACAAGCGAAAAAGGTACAAACTTGATTCTGAAAAATTTTCCTTTAGTATTGTTCCGTTTCTGTCCTAATGTTATTAAAACTAGGTCCATCATTTCTTCGATGGTCAAACTCAGGAAATTCCTGTTACTTCTTCTGTGTCAAAACTCAGAGAATTCCTAAAACTTCTTCTGTGTCAAAACTCAGAGAATTCCTATTACTTCTTCTGTGTCAAAACTCAGGAAATTCCTGTTACTTCTTCTGTGTCAGAACTCTGAGAATTCCTATTACTTTTTCTGTGTCAAAACTCAGAGAATTCCTATTACTTTTTCTGTGTCAAAACACAGAGAATTCCCACTACTTCTTCTGTGTCAGAACCATAGATATCTTATATACACTAGATAGCGCATCTCTTTTATCATTTGAATAGTTTAAAAATGTATTTGGAATAGGTTTAACGTAATGTTTAAGTTCCCTGTTTAAGAAATAGAAAACATACGAATCTTCTGCAATCACGGCTTCAATTTTTTAATTACAGAATAATTAGATGCACTATCTAGTGTACAGTATGTAAGATATTTATTGGCAGAACTCGGAAAATTCCTATTACTTCTTCTGTGTCAGAACTCAGAGAATTGGCCTATTACTTCTTCTGTGTCAAAACTCAGAGAATTCCTATTACTTCTTCTATGTCAAAACTCAGAGAATTCCTATTACTTCTTCTGTGTCAGAACTCGGAAAATTCCTATTACTTCTTCTGTGTCAGAACTCAGAGAATTCCTATTACTTTTTCTGTGTCAGAACTCGGAAAATTCCTATTACTTCGTCCGTGTCAGAACTCGGAAAATTCCTATTGCTTCTTCTGTGTCAGAACTCGGAAAATTCCTATTACTTTTTCTGTGTCAGAACTCGGAAAATTCCTATTACTTCGTCCGTGTCAGAACTCGGAAAATTCCTATTGCTTCTTCTGTGTCAGAACTCAGAGAATTCCTATTACTTTTTCTGTGTCAGAACTCGGAAAATTCCTATTGCTTCTTCTGTGTCAGAACTCAGAGAATTCTTATTCTTATTACTTCTTCTGTGTCAGAAAAGTCCTATTATTTCTACTGAGAGAAACTTGACTGCCATCGTTTTTGTCTGACACTGATCCAGGCTCATTTGATAGAGGTGGTGCTTATTTTTCAAAGGGGATATGATAATAGAGATTATAAATAACACTAGAGGAGACATTGTAATCTTAATTCAGTAATGGGGGGCAAATTTAAGTCCCGGATGTGTATTCGTGTTCCCATTGGTGACGAGTTTCAAATCAGCCGATGAAAGCACGATTTTATATCCGGGACTTGAATTTGCCCCCATTAGATGCGTTGCCAATTTTTAAACTCGATGCCTCCTCTAGTGTTATTTAAAATCTCTATGGATATGATGCCATTGATACTAAACCATGAAGCTAGTTATCCCAGCTATTGTGTATACTGTTTGAGCCACAAAAACTCCTGTTGACTAAAAGTTGCAACAACACGATGGACTGCATGGACAATGTTGCTGACCCAAGAGCAAAGTATTGACAACTGTTCATTTCTTACCAACCTTAAGCAACAAAGTCGACTTGTTGCCTAAATAATATTGTATTATATTGTATTTTAGGTAAACCTGCACAGCCAAGTATCGGACAGAATCATTCTATTTACAGATTCTTGTATCTTAAAACTTAATCCAAAATATAAAGTATTGAAACAGATAAGTTATAAAGAGGTAAGCTATTTCAGTAATATTTAGTCATAGTAAAAAATGTATTGAACCGATATCGATGCTCAAGTTCTCATATATATTGCATATTGTTTGTTTAATTTTGTTTGTGTGTTGTGCGATGTTGTTGTTGCCTGTCCTTTTTCTTCTTGTCCTAGCCGTTGTCGCTATCGCTATCCTCATTGTTTTTGTTTTTGTTGTTGATGATTGACCAGATTAGGGGCTGGTTGTATACAACTCTAACTACTTTTTAACTACTCGTTTCGTAGTTATGCAATTCCGATTAGTTAACTTTTGCACCATGACTATGGGTAACTTTAACTACTTTTTCGACCGGTCCCAGGATTTAGGCCAGCTTTAGATGGACTGAACTACCTTACACGATTTCTATTTCAGGCAACTGGTATTGCATTAACATCCGGCGTTGATCAGCTGTTGGTGCTAAAATTTCCTGGAAACGATCTCGTTATTTGCTTCCATAATCCTGGGAACGAAGATCGCGTTACCGAAGCCTTGGGTGTTGCATTTCAAAGAATGCGGAAGTAAGTTGGGCAATGCATGATATGATTGATTGTTTGAATGCGTGCATTGGAAATATAGCAGATTTTCATGTATAATGTTGGAGAGGACACTCTCCTGGGAGGTTTATTTTAAAGGATGAATGTAAGGACCATTCATTCATATAAAGCAACCGTTTTTTGTACAAATTTACAATCCTGGTCAAAAATCCTTGGCACATTTAGTAAACTAACAACTCCCTGTGCCACAATGCACAAGTGCATTTTATGATTGTGTTCACAATTTCATGTTCAGACCCCTTTCGCCATACAATGTTGTGCAACACTGTAGTTAATAGAGACTAATAGAGACATAATAATAGATGGTTTCGAGACTCATTAGAATAAAAAAAACTCATTATCTATGTTAGTCAACGTTGGTCCAAAAACGTGGTCCTTTGTTGTCACGTGTGTATTGTGATTTTGCCAAATCCACCAATAGTAATTCTTGAGCAACGAAGGACCACATTTCTTAATAAACCTAAACAAAAACATAAATAACAAGTTTTATTGTAATTCTAATGAGTCTCCAAACCATCTCTTCTAGGCACAGAATAGAGACAAACAGAAGGTCCACTCGGCCAAAAAAAGCGTAACCGCTGCCACGCCATGATTCGCAACGATTTGTCATCAAAATGCTGTCGCCATATTTATATGACAGGCATTCACCTCCTTGAACGTCCGCAATTTTGAATATTTTCAGTGGGGTGAATGCCTCTCATAAGCGCACTAGCAAGGACTGCAACGGTTATGCCAAAATCATAGGCCAAAAACTTGACCTTCTGTAAGGTTCCTATTCTGTGGTCCAGGATTGTAATGGATGCTCGTTTCTGCACCATTACTCTGGAAGGGGGTTTTAGTATGTAGGTATTTTATAATTTTACCATTTTCTGAATATGATGCGTATCTTCTATTTCCAGAGCGAAACGAGAAACACCCGACGTGAAAGTCGAAGATGAACTGTCTTGTGTTCTCGGTTCGAGAGAAAGGACAATCTTCATTCGACCCGCGGCCAACCAGAAAATTCCAAATTTCAAGAAAAATGGAAGCCGTGATCTTTTACTGCTGGCAGTACAATAAATATTGCGGAAATATTAAACACTACGATATGTTGTCTACAGCATAATTTAAAATGATTTTATCATAATAATCATTTGTTTATTTTTGTATAGGATTTTGGGTATATATAATTTTTCAAATATTAGCGAACATTTTCCCTACAAAATTATAGGTGATCTTTTTAATTGATACACGCCATATTTTAAACAGGCAGGAACCAGTGATCTATAAAGTATATATATATGGGTTAAAAATAATCAGTAATATACGGCCCGAAATAGAGACAATGAAGCCAAAGGTGGTAGATATATTGATGTCCAGTTCCTCTCCCTTACGCGGTTTCTGCATCATAAAATAACAGAGTAACCAATCAAATGCATATTAAGCCTGTGAGAAGTAGCGATAATAGTAGTGGTCGACGTCAAACTGAACCTCTCTAATAATATTGCAGCCTGTACAACCATTATTACCAAAGTTTATACTTATTGTAACAACTATATAGAACATTGCACTTGCTGGCTCGTAGCAAAAATTTGCTTAGGATGAAAGAAATTGTAGTTCTGCTTCATCCCTCTATTAAGTGGCGGATTGTTTCAAGAGCCAGTTGTATAAAAACGTAGTTAAAGTGAACTACACTTGGTGCGAACGTTAACCAATCAAAATCGCGTATTTTAGAGTTGACTACTTCAGCTAGAAAATAATACCGGCCTCAGATGTCATACACAAGCTCATTCATCAATTTTGATTAATGTCGATAAACAACAATGAAAAAAAATGTTTATTCTACACACGTAAAAACCCACAACTTGCAACAAACCTGCAACAGACTTGTGCCAAAGCTGCTTCAACAAAATATGTTCGCACTAGCGCTTGACCTCAGCTTGTTCAGAAGTCGACAACAGCTTCTCGACAACTTGCCACAGGATTGTTGACTCGACAGACTTAATTGTTATAAGTTGTTTCAACAACTTGTTATCGTCCGTCAACAACTTTTTAACAAATTGTAAGTGCATGACAATCTTGTAACAACTTGACAAGCTTACAATACTTACAACACTTGTTGACAAGTTTGTTACAAGCCTGTTGCGAACACATCTTGTTGACAACGAGGCAAGATGCGAGATTTGTACGTGTATACAATAACTTGCTGTCCAGCCTGTAATATTGTTTAGCCTACATTGTTGGCGTCGATTATATCGCAGGCAACCAATTTACTATAGTAAATGAAGTGATGGATTTATCCAGCATAAATACATTTTAATAATTGATAATAGTTGAACGCTTTAGGCCTATATGAAAATTTGGAATGGGACATATTTGATTTATTTTTTGACCTTTTTATTGTTTAAACTTTAATAGACAAAGACAAAGTAATAAACTAATACAAGCAACAGCCAGTCTGCTGAAATTGGTAAATTTTGCTCAGCTCTGCGCATATGACCCATCCTTGAATAATTGCCTATAGCTTCACCTCCGACCGACCGGATCATCTCGATATTCAAGGCCCGGTAAAACAAGAAAACAAGGATAAGAGTTAATGAAAGTTGACAGTCACTAGTTGTTACAGGGAACATTTAAGCTCTAGATTAACAAAATAAAGGTTTGATAAATGTTCCAACTACGTTTTAACTAAAACAGAACACATAATAGTGTGTTGGGAAAGCATTAAGAACAGCCGAATCAAGGTCGCGTGACTACTCTCATCCTCGTTTCATCCGGGATTTATCTAGCAGGACGGCGACGACTATTAATCAGTGAAATGAATGTAACTGGAACGCTACCTTCAGAAAAACTGCCAGTCACGCCTGCATGTTTATATGCCTCGCGAGACCAGTTCTGTTAGCGAGCTATTAGAAAAAAATAAGCTAGGAAGACTGACGCCTGTATTCTAAAAGCACACTCAATAAGTGGAGGTTCAATCAGCTTCCCTTGAGTGTCAATGCTGTTTTTGAATAGCTGGGGGATTAGTGCCGTTCTGTACCCTAGCTCCAGCTATTCAAAAACAGCATTGACACAGTGAGTGTGAGTGACCTTTTAGAATACAGGCGTAAAGGCTCTTCCACTCATCGCAAAACCAAGTCGCAAGCTCGCTGTGAGTGATTGTGTCTAATTAAAATAAACTTTCGAGCATTGTGATTGGATGAAAGTACTCGCAACGAGCTTGCGAGTTGGTTTTTGCGATAAGTGGAACATCTATTTTGATATTTTCAACATTTGATATTTTCGCCAGTCGTTGGCGAAAGGTAAATAATTTTAACTTCTACCATTGTTCGTTACCACTTCGTGTAGCAGAACACATAATGGTTTGAGGTAATTAAAAGTAGCTAGGTTAATTCCAGCTTTTAATTTATGTGCGCAGGGGCGACGGAATTTTCAATAAAAACTGCCGAAGAAACCGAAATATTTCAATATTTACATAACAAGCATCATGCACTCCGTGTTTTACGGCCACCATTTTTATTTTTTCAGCATAATCAGCACGGTAGATCCACCGTATGACCCCCTGCGCACATACAGTTAAAACTGCATGAATTGCCTATTAAAACAGTCAGACGATGTTAAAACTAGGGTTAACGTTTGGTTAGGGTCAGGGTAATTGTGACTAACTTTTATGATCACACATACCTTATAATTCATGTAGAACATGGTCACGAGCGATTTCTTCTTGAAATTCGACCCGTTGCGTTACATGTCGCGAGAAAGAATCGCACGTAAAAAGGTCAGTGATTGTGGAAATAACGTTTCGTCCTTTTACTGACAAAACTATATGAATAAATTTCGACTATAGTACACGATACTGAATAAACATGGAGGGGTCAGCAGGGTGGAAATGCAGGATAGAAGAAGAGGGAAGTGAGGATACTTTCCCGTATAGTACGATTCGTTAGGAGAAAGGCAGGATTAAAGAATCTTTCGCAAACTTTGACCAATGACCACAGTCACGGACAGGAATGTTCCACACGCTGGTCTACAATCAAAAGACTGTATCTAACGGCTTTTTTATTTCTCTTCATATCAATTTGCTTTACAAAAACACATATAAACTATCTATATATAAAAATTACTTTCGATCTTCAACAATCGGTGACATTCAAACAATCTCAAATCTCGTTGGCATGTAAAATTTATATAGGTACCGCACATATAGATATCTTATATACACTAGATAGCGCATCTTTTTTAGTAAAATTGAAGCCAAGAATATTCCAGCGGTTATTCCCATTTGAATAGATGGCGGC